GGGGGTGCTTCGCGCCATTTACCGACTGCCCCGCTTTGTTCAACACAGGGGGGAGGTGGGCGGGAACAGGTCTGGGTGAGGGGGGCGCAACGTGTGTATGTAAAAAGAATAAAATAAATAACTCAATCTCACAACACGCAAAACCGTTTGAATTGAAGCAATACCGACAGAAAACGACGATATCTGCACTTGGCACGGGTGTACACTGTACAACACCAAAATTTGTTGAAGGGTTGAGCATGATTCATGGAGGAGGCAAATAAAGGACACACAGTACGGCGTCCTCAGTCCTCGGCTGGAGCGGCGTTACAGGGCGCCTCCCTCTCCTCTCCAGCGACACGCCAGCAGCTGACTGCGCAGACGACCCGCATGGAACGTGCCACCTCTCGTCTCGTGGTAGCGCGTCACGCCTGGCCGGCCCCGGCGGGGCGTGGGCGGCTGCTGGCGGTGACGCCCAGCGCGGCGGGGCTTGACCACTCCCTGGCCTCATACAGACATCATACGGCATCCCGACACTCCGCCCCTTCAACTTGAGGAAATCGAGCCTCTTTCCAATACGAGTCACTTTTCACTTTTCTGTGGTGACGGCGGCATTGAACATTCCGGGCAGTGTCTATAGGGGTCGGCGCACGACTACTCGCAAAGAGTTGTGCGGGCTCCTTCCTATCCCCCCTGGAGACGGCGGCAGGATGCACTCCAGCACGTCCTCCTGCAGGAGGGAGGAGCGGGTGGTGGGGGGCCGGCCGGGGGCTGGGGCGGCGTTCCAAAGGGGTCGCGTCTTCTTCCTGTCAGCGTTTAATGAAGATCTCACGGTCGACCCAGCGAGCGGCCAAGAGGGCGAAGGGAGAAAGAAGAACACACTATTATGAAGAGTTGCCCGCTGCTCTGACGCGTAGCCTGCGAGTGCGAAAGGGACGGAGACACTGGGGGAAGGGGTGGTTCCCAAACCTGTGAATTGACCTTAAAGGGGAGAAGGGGGGGTACAAATATTATGGTGTCCCAAAAGGACCAAGGCCATCATTTGCAGATCATTGAACCCCAATATATTTGTACCCCAGGCTAAGAAGTATCATGAGGTTTCCTATGGACTGATGGTACTGATTCTTTTGGGGCCCCAAAATAAGTGCACCCGTCCCTAAAAGTAGTGGTGGGGGAAACGACCCCAGAACGCGAACCGCGCTCTCGGATCCGTCAGTGTGCGAGAGGCAGAGGCGCCCTCACACCTGCTCGGCATAAATTCGCAGTGGAACGTCGCGGCTGTCAGTGTCGCGCACAGAGGTGCATCGCGCGGAAAGATGTCGCCTAGTGGTGTTGGTGCGTCGGCCAGCCCGTCCGTCCACCCTCCCGACTGCTGCCGACGGAGACAAAATCGACCTCTCCTGATGAATGTGCTGCCAAGTACGGCCGAGAACAGACGGGAGCAGGTGGCTGGCAGGGCGGGACTGACCGTCGCGCTTCTGACCGGTAAGTAAATGAGATCTCCTTTGAGATAGAGCTAGAAGTGAAACCTTA